TTGTGGGTAAGTACCCGTTAAACTATACCCAAAGAGCTTACTGACCGTTATATCCATTCTTATCGGGATACTCAGCCTACAAATCAAATTTAATTCTAATCCAGAGAGACATACTTTTTTCTTCAACACTGAGCGGCATGACTACCAAAAAGTTTTGTGGCGGAAAAGCTGACACACAAGTGTGAATAATTTGACAACTATGGATATGAATAACTCAATACAGGATTTACATTCACGACACACTGCGTACTATTTCATAACAAACAGTTCAGTTTACCTGCACTCGAAATGAACGTACGACCCCATGCACAATTATAAAGACAATAGGTATGGTCGGGTAGCCCATTTGGTAAAGCACCGACTCGTCGCGTCGAAGGCCTGAGTTCGATTATTACAATGGTTACAGTGTGATGTCTATGTTCGATGTCACCAGGACATGATATACCTGATAAAGTGCTAAATAATGGCATAAAGTCCCTCACTCAAAAACATCAAATGCAATATTTAGGAAGAAATAACAACAGTTTGTATATAGTCATTACCGTATTACTTTAAGGTTCCAATTCCCTTGAAAACCTGACACGATCCATTAATTTTTTAAAAACAAATATAATTTTGGAGCTAGAGATTAATAATTAATCATATTTAACAAGTGTCACTATTCTCGGATCTGTTGGAACACAGAATATCAATATCATATCATAGTTGTAGTATGTTGTATCACTGTATTGTTGTTATTATTTTTTTGTTATTAAAATGTCTATACATATACATGTATTTTTGATGACATCTCCTGGACTTTAAGGTCGTGGTTCACAATTTGCACGTGTTTATTCATGCACGACGCACAGTTTGGATGTTTGCGTGTTTGTTGTGAGCTTAATACTCACACACGTTGTTGTTGAATATGGCGAACAGGACACACTGATTGTTCAGCTATCAGGTGCTTATCAAAGCACTTTTGTTTAACCGTAAATAACGTTCACGCAATGTCACGGTTCACTGAAAATCAAAGTCTTCGTGCCATGATTCTGCGGCAACCAGGAATGGCGCAAAACGAAGTTGGCAGACATTTAAATGTTCACTGAAGCACCATATCGTCTCTTTGGAGACGTTATCAACAGCAGGTCAACACTCTTCCTTGCCACGGACCGGACATCCACGTGTGAGCTCACGTCAACAAAGCAACCATAGTCGGTTGTTTCATGTACGGAATCAATGCCAAACTGGAACATAAACAGCTCGGACAGTTCCTGGATTGAGAACAATAAGTGGCAGAACCGTATGCAACCGGTTGAGGGAGCACAACATCCGGCCCCGACGTTAAGCGATACGCCCTTTTACGTCACCGTCATGACCAGGCACGCCTAGCTTGTGTAGACAGCATCCGAGGTTCAGAAAACAAGACTGAGACAGTACGCTGTTCACAAATGAATCCAGGATACATCTGGACAGCTCTGATGGCGTAACACTACTTGCCGTGGGCATTTGTGTGTCATAACAACTACACTGTTAAGTCGTTGGACATAGTGAAGGCTCAAAGAAACATTAGCCGTTAAGAGCAATTACAAGGCGATTGACCTATAATGATCTTTGTATTCTGCGAGTTTATATTTCCAGTGAAATTACCGTTAATAGGAATGACTTTTTGTCGTCTTATCAACATATAAAATGTCAATACATAATTATCGTGCCATGCACGAACCTGATCTGTGACCATCTACTTATATGTATATGTCAAGCACAATTGCTGACATTACAAATGTCAAGCCAATAGAAAATGACCAGCTAAGCAGAATGATAGTCGGTCATCTGCCTTTAAAAGCAGGCAGGAGGGGCAAGCAAGACAGAGCCGGCAAACATCGGAAGAGCGCAGTCACACCAGCAGAAAGGCAAACCAGGGACAAGGAGGGATGAACACTGACCAGCCAGTCGAGCCCATCAGCTGCCCATATGTCAACGTGACTTCGCCGCCTTCCTCTGTCAGAATTGTTGATCACCCAGTTCTTCATATTTATACTGTAAGAATAAAGTATCTATTATTTGCCACCACCACGACTTGGTGTTACCATGGTCGTGCAAGGGTTACAGTCGTCCACGAGAAGGTTTGGCGACGCTAGCGTAAGTCAAGGTCATCAATTTTGGGGTGGAAGTGTAATGGTATGGGATGGCATCACAACTCTTGGGAGAACACAAGTGATCATTGTCAATGACAATTTCAATGGCTTACACTACCGGGATGGCACCGTTCGAGGTCACGTTCTACCCTCTTGTGTAAATGCAGGGACGTAACGTCGCGTTGGAGCAGGATAATGCCCACCCACATGTTGCATGTATTGCAGCATTCTTTTTTTTTGAGGCAGCATTACATTGCTGTACAGCCATGGCCGGCTGTTTGTCCAGACCTCTCCTCTCAGAACATGTCTTGGATGAGATGGACAGACGCCTAAGACAGTATCAAATGGTAACGCTTGCTCAGTTAACCCAATCAATGGTTGACATTTGAAACATTACTCAGGCTGTTTTCAATCATCTGGTGTCATCAATGCCCCACCACAGCCTCGCCAGTATCACTGCAAATGGTGGGCACACCCGATATTGACGTTGTTAATTTTAGGCAGTGTCACTCTGTCTTCTGTACCAGCGATGGGTTTTTTCAGTGAATTTGTTATGACAAAGTATTGATCAGACGAATGCCCAGATATTATGTTGTTAATTTCAATAACATAACATTTACACCACTTTCTATGAAGCACAGTCACTTTTTTCTGCAGATGTACGTAATGTCTGCACACTGGTGTTTACGTTCATACTCCATGCACGCAAAACACATATTCTTTCACAATAGTGAATTCTTATAAATAAATACGACAATGATATATGCTTCACAGATTGCTAATTCAACATCGTTCAGCACAATAATGCAACACAAGCCCTGCCCATTGTTTTATCAACATTTAATCGAACAATAATAGGCCGTTATTGGGCGTGATCTACTTGTTTGGTTTACGGAAATATAAACGCAAAATTGCTTGATAAGTCATTAATTTACAATCTATTTATTTTCATTTATGAGCAGAATATACTACACACTTGGAAAAGTGTTAAGTGCCAACTAAGATAATGCATTATAAGATGTCACCATACTTCAACTGTATTAACAATGACGATCATGACAAGAAGGATGTGACCATTCCTGTTTGACCGTGACCCCAGAACTCACCGAGGCATGCACGTGCAGCATGATACTTATGCATTCTCAAAACTGCAATATGTTCAGGTATCAAATTTGGACACCATTATTTCACTGATTGCTGTTCATAAATGTGTAACCATCCCCTGTGAACATGCCACGGAAGAGGATATCAAAGAGACAACGATGACAAATAGTCGGAATGCATTCCACATGGTTGTCCTTCGAGTCTATGGTCAAACCAATGCTGTAATGTTTTAACAGCTATTGCATGGTCTATGCTTTCAGTGACAGAGTGAGCTTTCCACTCACTGTTGTTATAGACTAAGATTGCTAATCCATCTGATTCTCGAAAACAACATGTATCAGGAGAAACCTCATTATACATTACCAAGTGTAAGTCACGAAACGTGTTTAAGTTAAATACCGTTAGAGCCCCTACATCAACAGACTCAGATAATGCCTGAAAAAAGTAGTTCGTACCGTGGAGAATTCAAAGGTTGAAAGGATAGCTTCTTTAGCAGAGCACACACCTGCCTCATAATGTCTCAACTAAACTTGATAAATCACATGCATGTCTTATTACCCGTGAGCATGAGAGTCGGCGTTATGAGAATGTACCCGGTTCTTGGGAATTATAGTCTCTCGCTTTAATACCTGGCTGCCAGAGGTCTTGTTTATTAGATAAAATATCTTCGTAGTCGACATAGTCGATGTTCACCCGCACAGTGTAGGTGTGTTGGTTGTTGTAGTGTTGTAAGTCCTACAAACGTGACAGGCGCACACATCGTGGACGTCCATTGTGCCATTCCGACTATATCATAAACATATGTTTATGAATCGCCACTCGCGATATCAGTCGTTTGCGAACCCTCTACATCTATAAAAGCATAAAATCTATAACTGTTTATCATATTTAATTAAACAACTTGAATCGAGTAATTATAAACTGATGGATTGTTACATAATGTAAGTACTCCAGTCTGTTTTGCACTGGCCTAAATGCCGAGCTTATAAACTGGATTGGATAGTGACGTTCTGATTGCGTCACCATGCCCTGATGGCGAGGACAGTTGCTGATGTCTTTCGTCATCTGTATGCTTAGTCCACCACTATAGACCTACAACCATGATGTAACTTAAATAAATAAATTCACTAAAATGTATCTGTAGTCCTAGGCCTTGCTCTTTACGAATGATTTTGACAAGAATTCTCATGTTACCATTACGTTATTAAATGAGAAATGAGTCTGACAGTTTCCAGCAGTTGCGACGTGTTAGATCAACTATCTGCTATAAACAATCCGCGTAATCGCGCATGCACACAAAGGTAAATTTGATCAAGGCATTACACAATTCGCATGCGTAGAACGGAAGAATTCAGTACTTCCCCAAGGAGCCAGGAGCACTGGTCATCGCGTCAAACTCGGGCCTGTAATCTAACACGCGAGGCCTGACCAATGACAGCTGAGAAATAGAAATACCGGCAGATGCTATTGCTCGATTGATAATGTTAATCATGAAAAGGGAGGAGCTTTATTTCCATCCAATGTCCATATACGGAAAGAAACGACGTTTTCGTGTTTGCAGTGTTAGTTGGCCATGTTGTACATGATATGTCGTCATCTGATCGATGGGTGCATGCGGCATGATCAATCAGTTAGTTTGGGAATAAAAAAATATGTTAAGGTTATACGCAAGTCAAATCCCATCCCATGTTACTTTTGTGTTGAGGTCATGTGACACAACATAACGGTGCCATGGAGACGGGCGTTATATAAGAAGGACGCGCTAATCTCTGTCGCAGTGTCTCTCCATCCAGACGCAGAAACAGTGCTCACGCAAACATCCTCAGTCATGTTGAAATTTGGCGTGATAGTTCTTTTTCTAGGTAGGTTTTTTATTTGCTTAAATTGATTACATTTACGTTAGACAGTTAATGTTAATGTTAATGTTTTGATTTAAGAATAACATGAGTTACACTATTCGGACTAATTCAAGCTTTACTAGCAATGGCAGAGGTATATTAATCGATTTTTACGATTTTCGTACATTTGAATAATATTTTCAAATAAGAGAATACACCGTGACTTAAGTGTTTTATCGAAGTTAAATATAAGAAATTCCCATAAAAATATGTGTATATTGTATTAATCACAAAGCAGATTTCTACTATACTATCAGTTAAAAGCCATTGAATGCAGACGTTGAATAAGATATTCCACTTATATACAACATGTGTCTATATTGTCAACAGATAGGGCATTCATACAGAATATTGGGGATGATTTTGTCTTGATGCGGATCCCACGTATAGTGTTACCATCATGAATACTGTAACTCAGAAATGGTGCATGCATGTTGGGAAACGTCATCCATTTCATGTTATTATAAACTACAGATTTGTTCGAAATTGCGAAATGTTTGTTCGTTAGATGTGTTGGCACCGATATAATGGACCCTTTACACAATTTGCAAAACGTAGATGTAATAGTCATAGCGGGCCTCAAAAGAGAAACAAACACGTCTGGCTCGAAGTCATGATATTTCATTACCATACCATGCAGATCCCTCTAGTCTTCACAATACAGTGGATCAACTGATTCCAGTGAAAAATAGACCAGTAAAGATCCGGGGTAGAATAGGTCTTCAGCAACCCATTCTTGCTGTAAAAGGCGACTATGCTTGTCGTAAGAGGCGACTAACGGGATCGGGTGGTCAGGCTCGCTGACTTGGTTGATGTATGTCATCGTATTCCAATTGCGTGGATCGATGCTCATGATGTCAATCACCAGATTGTCTGGTCCAGACTCGATTATTTACAGACAGCCGTGATATAGCTGGAATATTGCTGAGTGCGGCGTTAAACAACAAACCAACAACAGTGAAAAATAACAATTATAATAAGCGTCCAATGCACGTTAGGTTGTTTCATAAGGGACGCGTCTTCCGTTACTATCATATTACCACTTTATGAGAATCTAGCCGTATTTAAACTCATTCTGCATTTCAAGAGACGGAGCGGTTACAATAAATTGGTCTTTATTACATAAATATTGATCTAAGATGGCTTCTTTTATATACTAAGCTTCTAAAGCGACCAATTCACGTTGATCATCAGCTATGCATAATCCACCTTGCAGTATTAAATAAGGCCGTACATCACCTCTTATGACATGAACAGATGTTATTATACAATTGGCAGTGAGTCAAATCTATCAGCGACATAAGTTCCCCTACGTCAGAGATGAAACAAACAGCGTATTTGATAACCATCGCAAAATATTCTATTTCTTACATACTGTGTTTTGCATGATTTTACATGTACTTCTCAAATTAAGTGTTTGAAAGGTAACCAATTCACTACCAAACTCCTTTCATCGAGATTCATATACGAGATGGACAATAGTCTCAAATCAATCGAACGACAGACCCAAAGGTTTGCGCAAAGCATTTATATTCCCTACATTTGATATTTAAGATATAGAAGATCGCTCTGCTAATACTCTCCCCATCTACCATATTTAATAAAATGTGGCTAAGTCTGTGTAAGTATGCTTTCATATTTACTACTGGTTTAACTTGTCCATGATTTTACACGTTTACACTTATTATTCATCATAACGAAATGAGAACGCATATGAAATGAAACGTTATAGATTCCCAAGAATCGGGGCGCTGCAATTCGGTATGCAGAGTTGCGTCCCTTGGGCACGCCCCAAACCTATGACACAGATTTCCCCCGATTATGTTTCTAGTTTTTTCACCACCAAACCGGTGCTCGTGGGTCGTATCACGTCGGAGTCCTGCATCCCTTAGGGCTTTTCTCTCCACCTTAAGCTGATACGCGGAAATAGAATAGAATAGAATAGAACAATTTGTTTTAATCTACACCGGTGTCCATCGAAACAGAACATGGTCTTTAAAGATGTGATTTAAGAGACACAGATACATAAGTGGTTTTATAATTGATAAATTGAACTTTGAGATAAAAGGCACTACATGATTTTAAATACAGGGACACTCACGAACGTGTCTCATGACATTCGAAGAGAAAGGCAACATATGTAAATGTCCTTATAAAACTAAACCTTTTCTACGTCTATAAAATTAGTTTCAACTGATGGGACGAGAAAACGTGGTCATTGAGAAATAGCTACACTGGAAATAAGTAACAATAACATTATAATCGTCTGTGAATATTCAAATCGGACGAGGTTACAGTGTATGTACGTGTACAGTTCGGACATACATTTACGTATGTCATGGGTAGTATACGTTCACATACGCAATGAACCTTCGGGCGTTTGTATTTATGTCACCAAACACACCATAACTTTGTAATGACTGAATGCATTCAGTTGCATCGTTGGATTGTTTTCAGTTTACGTCCCAACAACTGTGGCGACCACATGTGATGCTTGTAAAACCACGTATACTGCAGACAAGGCTGCCCCCGCTGACAATCCAGCAAAATGCACGTAAGTCTGCTTTAAGTAGATGATGCTACTTCATAAGATTCCATGTTTATATATACCATAGGGTTAATTTAAGAAATAAAACTGTTGTGTTTTCAACAAAGAGGTGTCTATATTACCACGTGAACGTGAGAGAAGAACGCGAATATGTTTCTTATTAAGCGGAAGCGATGAGTGATTTAGCATCTCGTCTCTAATATTGCAATAGAGGTTGAATGGTCGAATTTAGCGTTCACTGACAATTGATTTTATTTCTCATACGTTTGCTTTCCATTATTTTCTCTGTAATATCTCACGATGATGCAGTCATCAGCAAAAGCATGGTATGGTGTAGATTCGTATCTCTTGTGGACTAATCAGAAAGCAGGATTCTAAAATGTCATGGTAGAGATATTGAAACAGCATTTTTTTGTGACAGAGGTCCTACAGGTGATGTATACGTATGAGGCACTTATATTTTAAAGCGCCATTCACAAATGGTATAATAACAACCGTGAGAACAGGTGATGACTTGTTATTTTCATCATTTCGGTCACAAAATTGCGTACAATTTTGTAACATGTGTTGCAGTGGTTTTGGTTTTATGTTGGATGAGAACGTAAAGTCAGACAAGGTTAGCCAAAAGGATGACACCAAAAGTTCGTTTAGTGCTGCAATGAAACCATATACAAATACATTAGAATATACTGTCGATGCCACAAACATATAATTTAAGTTACGATTTTCAAAATCATTCCCAGGGTTATACCAGATATGACTGTTACTTAATAGGCAGCCGTTTCGACAATATACATAATCAAATTCACACATACTCCAAGAATGTAAAGGTTGATAAATTCCATGTGTTTTTGTATAGATACCAACCTCTATTCATTTGCAATATACGAGGCCATTGCTGACGTCACGAACCCGAGAACCATATAACACGAAGGAACAGCATGCTGTGCCATTCTACAAATATTGTTGTGATGTAGTGGTGTGGTACTGACACGGTTCACTTGTCGTGATGTCTTTTCATCGTCGTGTCATAATAATGAATTGCATACTGCCGAGTTGATTTCATGACTTCGAAGGGTCGCAGTTTGCCGAAGTTGTATTGCCGTAAGGTAAATTTAATCTCGTATCCTTGATGGTCATTACCCCTTTACAAAAATGTGACCCAGGTCGTTTGTGATATCACAATATCGTATTGTATTGCCTTGTATCCAGGTATTGTTTTGTCAGGTTATCCTGCTGTGATATTGTAGCAGAGCTGTGCAAACATTATATCAACCACATTGTGAAAAGTACGTCTTATTGTTCCATAGATTAAAAGGCTGTCAAAGAAATAGCTTGTAACTTATCACATTTTTACATTTAAAACAAGTTGGAGAGTTCCAAAAAGATGCTGACGTATATGAAAGAATGAAACAAAATCATGTCAAGTTAAATGAATTATTTAAAAAGTTTCGTGGGAATGATTATGTGTTCAAATGTCAATATAATATTTTTCTCACAGTGCACTCGCGAAATATTTGACCTGTCTGGAGGGGTCTGAGAAGAATGACGCCGGGTGTCAGCTGGCAACTGCTGATGCGACTATCATAAAAACTGAATATGACAGCTTTTCTTGTAGTACAGGTATGTTGATTAACTTGTGAAAATGAACAAAAATTATAAATCTAAATATTTGGTTTTATTACCTACATGTGTTGACATGATATGTATAGTATACACATTTAATATAATCATGAGCTGTGGACGAAGAAGGGAGGATGTGGTTGGGAGTTGATGGTGCCAGTTAATGATTGGATACACTCTTCAAAAAAAAAGAAACGCACAGGTAGATTTTTAGTAAATTGATAGTACCTAATAAAGTCGATATATTTAATTTAATATCATAGATACAAATATGAAATTTTGGAGCTCGATAGTCACATGTTGTCGCTGTACAAAGGCATTGAAAACTGTTCATTGTCATGTCAAATAAGGCCTCAAGGTTGCGCTGAACACGTGTGACTGCCCTGGGCAGCAATCACGGCTCAGCATCTCCTCGGCAATGACTGGATAAGTGTACGAATTCTGTCCTACGGAATTCTGCGCCATTCTGCTTGTAACGCGTTGGCCAGAATTTGAGTGTGTGTGTGGCGTGTTCTGACGTTGACGCACACGTCGATCGAGTTCATCCCAGGGGGGTTCGACTGGGTTGGGATCTTGAGATCGACGGCCAGGGCAAAACGTTGATGTTTGCATTATGTAGGTAGTCTACCGTGACACGAGCTGTGTGCGGTGGAGCGTTGTCTTGTTGAAACAGCTCCCTCTTGCGGTCAATGATTGGAAGAAGGTGAGGTTGAAGAATTTGATTCATGTAGCGATTTGCTGTCAACTTTTCCTGAACCACAACCAAGTCAGATCTCCTGGTGTAGGATATGCCCCCCCCCCCCCCCATACGATGACACTACCGCCACCGAAATTGTCGAATTCACGTACACAATGTGGGGCAAAACGCTAATTTCGCTGTCGATAAACACGTTGTCTTCCATCTCGCCGGTGAAGAAGAAATCGTGATTCATCGCTAAACCACACCCATTTCTGAAATTCCAAGGCTGTAAGGTATGGCACCAACGCAAGCGTCCAACGCAAACAGGGACGATAACTGGTCTTCTGGGTCGGAGTCCAGCCTCGCGAAGATGGCCCGTCACAGTCTGACCCGATATCCTCCTCAAACAAGGGATGCGTCCTGCTGTCTCCGTAGCTGTGGCATCGCGATGACGTAGGTGGAACAGTCGAATGTAGCGATCCTGTGCAGGGGTGGTAACTCTTGGTCGGCCGGTTCTCGGACGGTCTGCAGTGGAATTGAACTGTGTGTATCGGTCACAAAGGCGGCAAATGGTGCTGTGGTGGACGTTGAAGTGGCGTGCACAGAAGACTGCGATTCCCCTCTTTGGATACGTCCTATGGCGATGTTCCGATCGGAAACGCTGAGTCTCCGCATTTTCGAACTTGAAAAATGTTGACAATTGAATGATAAAATATTGGCTTATGCTTGCCCTTTTATAGCAACTACCACGAGTTACGAATACCATAACTTACACGTGCATTCTGTTTTACTGTTATCCTCCATGACATTTTTTAACATGTGAAAACAATGCCGTTTAAGACATTGCAAATCGACAATGGCTGCGTTTTGACGCAGCGTTTGTCGAATATTAGGCCACCAACATTTTCAAATAACATATATCCAATTTATATACCGGATTTTTTTGTGTAGTCAGGTTCAATGAACTACATACTACCTGTGCGTTTCTCTTTTGTTGAAGAGTGTATGTAGTCTGAGTGTTTTTGTGTTTTATAGAGGCAGCATTTACGGATACCTGCATATGTCAGAAAGACTTCTGGAAGACCGACCAAAAAAGCGGTGCTGCAGCTGTTTGCGGGTAATACATACACGCTGATATGTCAAACAAAACAAACGGAAAATTCTGCATACATATAGGTGTGATGTAAGATGCTTGTTAAAAGGTATTTTTCGTAACTTATATAATTAAATACCCGTGATAAGATATATCTAGTAAAAGAGGTAACATAACAGTAATTTTTCCACCAAGTACAGTGGTTGTCGTGTTGACATTGTATCCACAGCGCCTCCATGGCTTACATTGCGTGCTTGAAGGGGAAGACAAACAAGGCCTGTGATGGTTCCACTGACGTAACAGCTCTGGCTACTGGCGTAGACACCAGGATAACAAAACTGGGAAAAGCACACTGTCGTATGTTAGAGACATCATCTAGCTCAACTATTTTACTTCAAGCTGAGTCACACTTGTTTGTCATTTAATCTCGTACTACACCAAAAGCAGAACGTCATTAAGGTTGACTTGCAAGTAAACATATATGATTACCTACTATAATTATAGGTATGAAGAGTAGCTTCATTGCAATCACTAAACAATGTTCTAAACCTACTGTGCTTATATAATCTTGATGACACGTTAATAACGTGTGCAATACCATCTTGTTATCTATTTCAGCTGTCACCCCCACCTGCCAGTGTGAGATTCATAATGCTGAATCAGACATTTCCACTGATGCTAAGAAGTGCACGTAAGTTTAGCTAAAGTTGAGTCATTGTCAAAACAAATCAATCCTGTTTTGCGGCAGTGTTTACAATTCCTATGTGCATGGACATTTTAGACACCATATGTGTCAACCTACCCACCTGTTTTGTTTCCAAGGGGTTACTTTATGCCATTTAAATTAAGGTGAAACGTGTAGTCAATTAATTCTGATGTTGTGATTATCATTAACGAAATGTTAATTTGGCATGTTAACCTTGGATACCACGTCACGAATACACACAACCGCAGAGAGGAACCGACGAATATATGAAAATCAACAAAACATTGTACATCGCAAAGAACATTTTGCATGAGTTGCATTTTTGTAATATTTACTTATTGATTGGTGTAGGGTAAATGTTCGGAATACCAACTGATGTCTGAAAGTTCGATGTTTTCACTTCAGGATGCAGGTTGACTCTCATATAATGCATAATTTGTGATGAAAATACGGAGAGTACTTACAACCACTAACATTTCTGTATAGATTATATAAATAGGGTTGAGACACACGGATCGACAGGTTTAGTAAACACGTTACTAACACACCCTTAATGCAGAAAGAGATCAGCTGTTTATCTAAAACATCTTAGAATTAAATGTTTATCAGTGTGTTTACTCTCGAGGATATAAAAGTCAACGTTTCTACATACGTTTCTGCATCCTGTGGCGTAAATTCCATAAAGATCATCATTGCAATCGCTATTGAAACTTCACACGTAGTTCAGCGTCATGATTATAAAATGTAATGAAGGACATTTGAAAAGTGCTTAAATGTTTAACCTCATTCTATATATTAAAGTAGAAAAGTAAAAATTCTGATTTTACGAAAAGGGCACTCTATAAAATATGGAGTAGATGTACCTATTCCGTTAACATGTCAAGGACTGTGGCCTGTTGCTATTTTACTGAACATGTTTGTTGATGTGAATCTTGTTTTCGTCACCATAATGCTTGGATATTGCTAATGCCGTCTGCTTTAACTCACTCGCTCTCACATTTACATACTTTTATGTTTGAAGCGTTTCTGCCATGAGGGAAGAAGAATTGTCGTTTTCATGTTTTCTTTACTTACAGTGCACTGACTGCTCTGAAGACCTGCCTTTCAGCCATCACCTCTACAACAGCTACCGGATGTATCACTGGCACTCAAGCAACCCTTCTGACTGACACGAACACCAAGTTAGCCACGTGTAAGTATTGCTGTTCCACGTCCCATGCATTTCCAGGGAATGTGTGCATCACCATTGTAACCGAACATTATACCGGAGTTATATCAGTGTTCAGCCACAGGGTATTTCATGTGTTAATCCACCAACATCACTAATGTTAGTTTTGTAGAAATATGACACTTAATGACCTGATCACTCTATATAGATTATAGCCTCACGGTCAATTTCTACCCGAGTTCTCGATAATCATTACCATATGATATTGCTTAGCATGGGCTGTTACCTGCCCTGTATCACGTGTTACATTAAAGACATGGCCCATTCATTTTCATCCCTACAGGTGCCGCGGATCACGTGACCTTTGCAATGACGTCACTGGTCGTCTCAGTTCTTGTAAACATGTTCCTGTGGCGGCCATCTGTGCTGGCTCTTTGAAACTCCTGTTTGTTTTAAATTGGTGTTAGTGATAGTGTGTTTCCCATTTTCTATCATCTTTATAATGACGTGCTTTCTAAATATGTTCCGTTGTCAAAGAAAATCGAAGTGACTGATTTGAGTATCCGAATGGAGGTGTCTTGAGAATTTCCGACAAAAAAAGAAATATTTGTATGACTGCTATGTATGACGTGGGCTACACATAATTCATGTTACCACTGACGAACAATATAGGGTCATACAAATCCTGTGATATGCCTAAATGTGCATCTTTGGTTCCGATTTTGATAAATTATGCAGCTTGTATGCTGTTGTTCCAATCATGATAATCTGTAGGATACTCACATGAATCAACCCACGTGTTCCGTACCATAATGACGTGTTGATGAAATACTTGTTGATTGTTCTCCTGAAATAAACGGTACTGTTCGCGAAGCCAAATAATATGCTGTTTGTTAACAAATACAATTGTTATCACAACTGTCATACTCTCCCTTATGCCACACTAATTTCGTAATCCTCGTCATGAACCATTGTACGAATTATTCGAATGACTAAACTTCTCATCACTCGTAATAAGAAACGAAATATGACCATGAGATACTGTATAAGTTTATATAAATCATCTTGTAAGATCAACACGGTGATGTTTTTTGTTTGTTTGTTTGTTTTTCGTTTAACGTCGCACTCAGCAATATTCCAGCTATATGACTCCGATCTGTAAATAATCGAGTTTGGACCAGACAATCCAGTTATTGACATCATGAGCATCGATCCATGCAATTGGGAAACGATGAAATACATGAACCAAGTCAACGAGCCTTACCACCCGATCCCGTTAGTCGCCTCCTACGACAAGCATAGTCGCCTTTTACGGCAAGCATGGGTTGCTGAACACCTATTCTACCCCGGATCGTCACGGGTCTACACGGTGTTGTGGGCATATGGAAACATGTTAATGAATAGAATCGGTGTATACGGGTTGCGCAGTCGTCAGAGGCGCGAACAATCGAACTGCAGGCTCGCGTCAGTTCTTGGGTTTCGTCATACATACACGTCGCATCGGCATTTTTACTTGTTCCCACGCAGCTATTAGGGTATTTCAGTTATATCACACCGTGGCAGCTTGATGTAAGAGGAAATTCCGAAGCGACGCAGGTCTTTGACTTTGAAAGGATATCACGCAAACGTTATTCTTATATCACAACCTATGAGCATTCACGCTGTTGTCAAAACAAAGGTACTCGATTTGTAATAAATATTCTTTTTCAATCTGATCGAAGTCGTTTCAGATTTTCAAAAATCACATTTTCGTTTTTTATATGCCATAGAGACCAAACATGAAATTCCGACCTGCAGGCGTTCAGAAAGATTTCATTGTCTTCTTTTACTTAAGGTCTTTGCCAATTCAAGAAAGTCAGTTGATATCATAGTAAGGAAAGTGAATAGCCGAGTCAGTTCGACTTCGTGCAGTGGTGTAGTAAAGCTATTGGAGTCGGCACGGGGACTGCAGAGATGTACCCTACCTACAATCGTTTTTAAATATCGGAGAATCCACAAGCCAGTTAAACATTACCAGGAACGGGGATGCATGATTAAGTTTGATATCAAACATGACTATTATGTAGTAGAATTACACACCGACAACCATGAAGACACTGGCTGCTGTGTCCGTTCAAACACTCAACACTCCCAGTCTATATGATACTTGAGATCCTTTTGGAGCATCTACGAGTCCCGAGATCTTCCAGTGTTTGCCGTCATCTATCTGCTGAATATTAAAGTGCAGAGGATTTGTTTAAGTTGAATGCCTTGATGGTTTTCTGTGCATCACTAAATCAAAATCAGAGACAATGAGAAACAAACCGTGGTTTCACTATTAATTATAGCAAGACTGTGTAACCTACTCAGAAGCTGATAAAGAAGTACTTCCTGCAATCTGAAGTGAGCGATGACGAAGAGGGCAAAACAGGGCCAACTTCAGGAAATTGTAGGAACATTAAATTGGCGAATGGGTAGTTGTCGGAAGCCGCACGTTTGTGAATGTTTAACTTGACTAATACCCTCCGAACACCGAATCATCATACCAGGCTTAATAGATACGCGAAGCTGTTAAGCTGATATCAAGTTGTGACATGCGCCTTGTGAATGTTTTAACAGTAATGATAAATTTATTGAAAATGAAACTGTGCCTACTGCAAAATTCTCAATGGATGCATGTATTGAGGGTGGTGCAGCATGTTCTAGCCCTAGTTGTGACCGAAAAACCATTAGATGAATGCTGGTTTTCTGCTGTCTTTTTAACTTAAAACGATCAGCGAGATATGGACATGACAGATTCATTCCTCGTAGCTTTTTGGTCAACCCGCATCAGTGTGATTGTTTTTGCTTCTTGAGAAAGATACAATGCTCTCTGAAAGCTAGAGGCAGTGGTTCAAGAAAGCAGTCCTGCTTGATTCTGGTAGACGTCAATGTCTCTCCTTATAAAAATAGTGCCGTCATTATTGTGAGACAGACACGTTTCGACGTTGAAATAGTAACTTTCAAGACTTGTTAATAGAATGTTATAAAATTTAACCAAACTTGAGAAATATGAAAACGCTACGAAACAGATCTTTATATCTCATGACAAAAAAAAGTTAATATAATTGTTTGCAATTAAAACGGTTGTCATTTGTTTTCCTTTATACTACGTATTATTTCGTCTATTATTTGTAAAGAATTTATGGATCGTATACATTTTTACATATGAAATCCTGAGTGAAAGCTGCTGCTTATGTCCAAGACCGGCCCTATGAGTTATGTATCTCGTCAGCCGGGAATGGGTGAGTGCTGGTTTATGCCGCAGTCAGCAATATTCAAGCTATATCACAGCGGCCTTGAACTGTCAGATATGTCAGAAAGTGTAACCACCAGACTTAGTAAGTGTAAGACTTTGTATAAGGGATCCATTCTGGGCCTCTTTTCCATTCTGTGATCTTTTCTGGGACGGTGATTGTGGTACTTTGAGAGCATGCACACATCGATATCTTGTATGTAATTGTTCCTCTGATATGATCCTGTACACTCCGTTTCTTCTAATAGACAATCATTTTATTGCGCAATAACTTGCATCGATTCTTGAATTTTATTGGTCAATCAGACATTTATGATCACAAGAACATACCTGATTCAAGTAGCCTCATCACTGCGATATAAAATGTTCAAAGGACTCATATTTCTTTATCATTTTGCTAATTATAATAACAAAGATCTTAAACCAATCTCTTTAATTTTATAAATAGTCAGGTATGTTCACTAAAGTATCTTGTATTAATAAGAATGCCACTGGTTTGATTAAACGTGCCATGTGGGGATACGAATGCAGAATAGGTGGCACATACACAATACTGGTCTACACGTCTTGATTCTGGGGCTGAAAATAGGCCAAAGTAATTCGCCTGCTGAAAGAGCTAAAATGAAGATCGGGTTGTCACAGGGACTGACCTGGTTCATTAGGTCTAATTGTATCCTGATAGATTGTAAGCTTGCTCGTTTTGTCAACCCTGAGTCCATCATTTACAGGTTGCAGTGATTTAATGATAACGAAACGCCTTATGGTGGCAGTTCTCAACAATTTTTAATATGTATCATAAGTCAATTGTTTCCAGGTTAAAATGTACATGTTGCAATCATAACATGCAAAGCGACACACTGAACCATTACCAGTGCAGTTCTGTGGTGAAGTATCGAAAGTCAAATATTTGTACTAATGAAAGATTTTATGAAAATCCTCAGCTCTGTGATCTATAAAATGACGGCACAATTCCAGACGAGCCAAAACGTTTGTATTTTCTCATATAGGTGATGATCATATGTGTCTGTATGTTAAATCAAGGCCTCTAATGAGCCAACAACTGACCACGGGACCACGGGCGCTATCAGAAATAATTAGTACGCGTTTACCAAGCCATCAGCGCCCGATTGTTTGCCTTTATGCGCATGCGCAGTAGCCATTTACTCAGCGAAACTTCATAATTTTTTTTTGAGTTTTCTCACATTATATTATTTGGATTAATTCGTTAAAAGATCATACCCTACCCCACAACTAACCCTAAACATCGTCACTGGTATGGCGTACCACAGATTTAAAATTGTGGTTCATGCCCAGGCTATGGATTTGATACCCCATGGGTTCATGATTGAAGCCATCATAGTGTCCCTTCCGTGATATTGCTTCTGTTAAAACCCTACTCATCAACTTCATGTACATCTGTCCAGTTAACTGTGCACCCTTATATGTTGACTTTTGTATCCGTCAGCATTTGGTTTGTACGTGTTCATAAATGTGCTTTTCGTTTTCATTTTACTACACAGTCTACAACTGTCAACGATCCTCGGCCGCGTCTCACCAAAAGATGTTAAAACATGGTATTTGATGTTACCCTGCCTGTTGCTCGCTTTAAGGGGCTAAAACAAGGACTGGTCGTATACAGTGTAGGGTATTCATGATAAACTGCGTCAAGGTATCTCAGTCGGCTAGCACTATAAAATCGGCATTAGTCCTGACTAACATAAGCAACCACACACACACACACACACACACACACACACACACACACACACACACACACACACACACACACACACACACACTGTTAATTGTGTGGTGGGCAACTTCAGCTATCTTGGTCTATCTTGTGGTCAAGTGCCAAGATCTTCAGATTTAAATACTTCTAGGTCAAGTAACCTGTTGTCTGTGAACAGCCAACATCTATCTCCCAAACCAATAGAAACCTTTCACGTTTTCTCCGTAGTTTCCAACCTAGGGCCTGGGAATCTGACAAACAAAGTATACATATTTCAAAATGTCGGATTCAGCATTCCCCAATCTCATTAAAATCAGATCTTAGTGCTCACTTCCGCTAAACAACGAGATCTGAGGATATCCCATTACGGGTCCCGTCAGAACGACCTTTGACCGACCCATGAAATGATTAAGAAGAAGTCGACATTAGCCAATCAGAAAGTAGCTTTCTTGTGTTTCCGATTGTCACGTTCCTGATCTGGGAAGCGACGCTCTGATTGGTCCGATGAGAGGTTGTTCAGGCTGTCCTCAGATCATTGTTTAGCGGCAGCGAGAACTAAGATCTGATTTTAATGAGACTGTGTATTCCCATCTGTTCCTCCCGCAACAAGATTATCAATATTTGTATTTCCATAAATTAACTCGGTTCTTCCTTTCAGCTTTGACAAGTCTGCTAGAAAATCTGGAAGAGGACTTGTTTGTACCATACCTTATCCTATTTATCTCAGATATCACTGGATGTGGATTTCTGCAGAAGAAGTCAAGATTTCTCACCAGGTCATGCCTTATATGAACTGTTGTAATTGTCAGAACAGGCCGTTGGTTTTACTGTTTAACCCAGCCAACCCATTACTGCTCACACTAAAACCTCATTAGTCTTGTACCTCCGTATAGTGTTGGTAATGTATGTGTGGCATGAAGGGTAACTGTATGTTATAATTTATATACATTGTATATGTTTTTACAAGCAACTCCATGTATGCTGTGGATGTCATATGCTTATCACTGCTGTCGACGTGTTTATTCTATTAGCTTGCACTCCGACTGTTGAAGTCCGGGTATGAATAAGAGT